TTATGCCATTACGATAGGAAGATGCTTACAAAGCCCTGTCATGAAAAGTTCATATGGTTTCCATGGTGTGTATGGTTGTCATTGCAGTTAACAACAACGTCAGCAACATGACATTCACAAGGCATTTTCATGTTGGTTTCAAAAGTGTTACACAGTTGTTGATTTAGACAGAAGCCATCTCCTTTTGGTTTGTTTTTTGAAAAGAAAAACTGTTCTAAAAACTCACAAAAAATGGTCTTTTTGAATTTGTGTTAAAGCATAAAATAGTATTCATCAGAATCTTATAACAACATATGATTTTTTTCACTTTTCACAAAACCATTACCATAGGAATCAATGATAAATGGCTAAAAAAATCAACATTTTCATGGTTGACACATTTTTTTGAGCAACAACATAAATAAAATAAAGCTACTGGGTAAAAGTCAAGAAAAATTGGCAATATTCAAATGTGAAATAATTGAAAAACTACAATTTTAACTTTTATTTATTTATTTTTATTAGAATAAAACAAAACAAATATCTTTAGAAAGTAGATTAAAGTTGAAGGTCATAAAAGACGTTATGAAATTATTCGCTACATGGAAGGGGCAAAGGTCTTGAGAGTATTCTTGGCAGCTCGGGCCAACGGTACAACTAAGTCTTATGTACATTCTTCATAGATGTCAAACTGACTGCCCGGCAACAGTAATAGCGGCAAAACAAACAGCCATGAAAGATGGCTTTATTTATAGATAGGTTAAATAACTTGTCTAGAATGGCTATATTCAGGACAGCTAAACCTGTAACGGTAAGCTAATTGAATTCAACAAGGCCAACATGAGGTGCTCAAAACACTTTTTTTCAAGTTGAAAAGCATGTCTAATTTGAAGGTCTCTATACTAGAACTGATTAAAAATACTAAAGCCTGTTAAACTGAGTACCACCAAGTGGTGATACAGAGGCAATTTGTAATAGGATTATATCTGAAAGCGCATCTTTAGTCAAATAAGCCTTTAGTTAGTTCTGTAGCATTATTTACCCTCATATTTGTTAACTAAATTGTTCGTTTTGCTCAATTCATAAAATATCTTTTTAATCAAATGCAACTATTTTTGTCATGGATAATACTTGTAGTTATTGTAACTAAACTAAATTCTTAAGCAGGATCAAGAATTTGGCACAAAAAAAATTAATAATTACAATTAGAAGACAGTATTACCGGTAAGCTGAAATAAGTAGACTACTGCTTTAGTTGACTAAAACATTACTCACACAACTTGATTGTTTAACCTTCTGAATACCAATATTTTGGACATTTATATGAATTTTTCTACAATTTATTTGTTACTTTTGATCTAAACTGAACATTTTTTACTCATTGGCTACAGATTGCTCAAAACGTTGACAAATTCTACAGGTTTATTTTGTGAAACGGGCCTCCTGACTGAAAAGTAAAAACAAAACTCAACGTGAAAAATATTAGGAAAACACCAAAGGGAAGATGATTCTCAACATTATATGAATTAACTAAGTGGTCAAACACTGGAATATAATAAGACAGGACACTGACTGTGCATCAACAAAAACTGTTAGAATGCACCCCAAAGACAGAGGTGTCTGCAGACAAATTTAATTATTACTGTAAGTAACTGCATGTGGGCTTTGACCCTGACAAACCTTTATTCATTGCAAGAAGCCAAGCAGGAAACAAGTATTCACATCAATATTAACTGTACGGATTTCTAAATGCAATGAATGAACAGAAGCCTGCAAGACCTGCAATGCATACAGTTGATAGCTTACCTCCTCGTCTGGTGGGAATTGTTTATTCTTCTTTACTGGTAGATGAGTGTCTAGCATGTTCTTCCTGCCTGGTACATCATGTTCAATTTCATAGAAACGATCACACCGTGGACGAATTCCTGGTGGAGCACTCGCCGGTGGATCATATTCCTGGCCGTTACTGGAATATCTATTGGCAGATGGAGTCGACCTGGGAAAAGACCGCAGTTCGAGAAGAGTCAAGTTTACGTTGGAAATCCGTGGAAACATTTATACGCCGTCATGAAGGCTGTTGTCAAGCAGCGATCGGAGCAGAGAAACACACAACCCGACTAGTGTAGGAATTAATTATATTCCGAACACATAGAGATGCAAATTAAGATCAATGGGTGATGGCAATGTGGACACCGGTTGTTGACACTCACATAACAATGGTTTGTCCCGAAGACCATAAAAGACAACGTAAATTAAATGCACAAAGTCTTTTCTGTTCGATCACCATGTATTAGGATATCAATAAGTAAAAAAGAAAGAAACCAAACTCTTTAATAATACTTCAATTGCGATCATTTGAACCATAATTTCAAAGAATGCATTGAGATAATATACAATGTCCATAGCTTACAAACAAAGATCTTTACATGGCTATTATTTTGGCAGTCACCCTTTCAAGCAAGCAAATCATTATTTACAGAGAAGTTTCTGATTGAAAGTGCTATTACAACATCTAATTGTATTGGATAGTTTTGCCATGCTGTGAAGTTGGCTGACATAGCATAGTCTGTCTGCAACTGAATGCCTTAAGAGATGACTATAACATACAGTAGGTGGTGAATTTCACATCATGGTCTGTCTGCTACTGAATGCCTTAAGAGATGACTATAACATACAGTAGGTGGTGAATTTCACATCATGGTCTGTCTGCTACTGAATGCCTTAAGAGATGACTATAACATACAGTAGGTGGTGAATTTCACATCATGGTCTGTCTGCTACTGAATGCCTTAAGAGATGACTATAACATACAGTAGTGGTGAATTTCACATCATAGTCTGTCTGCTACTGAATGCCTTAAGAGATGACTATAACATACAGTAGTGGTGAATTTCAC